CTGAACTTTCTCTGGGCTATCTCAAAGCTAGTAAATGTATCCTTAGATAAGCAGGTCAAAACTTCACAGTATTCAGCTGAGGTCCAACTAGTGCCTTGTGTAGTTTTAGCTAGACTTCCCTAGTTTTGTATTCTATTTCCTTTGAAATGAGGACCAACATTCCATTTGCCGTCCCTTTTCCTGTTGAACACTTTTTTAAAAGCAGGAAGAACTGCGGGTGCTGTTAATCAGAAACAAAAACAGAAGTTGCTGGAAAAGCTCAGCAGATTTGGCAGCATCTCTGAAGAAAAAATCAGAATTAACATTTCTTCACATGCTGCCAGACCTGCTGAGCTTTTCCAGCAACTTCCACATTTTTTTTAAACTCATTTTTGGGATGTTGGTGACACTGGCTGGCCAGCATTTATTGCCCTTTCCCAGTTGCCGTTGAGAAGGTGGTGATGAGCTGCCTTCTTGAACCTGCTGCGGGTTGACCCACAATGCCATTAGGAGTGAATTTTAACCCAGCGACAGTGAAGGAATGGCGATATATTTCCAAGTCAGGATGGTGAGTGGCTTGGAGGGGAACTTGAAGATAGTGTCATTCCCATGTGTTTGCTCCCTCGTCCTTCTAGATGGAAGTGCTTGTGGGTTTGGAAGATGCTATCTGAGGAATTTTGGTGAATTTCTGCAGTGCATCTTGTAGATATTACATACTGTTGCTACTGAGAATCGATGGTGAAGGGAGTGCATGTTTATAGATATGATGCCAATCAAGCAAGCTGCTTTCTCTGGATGGTGTCAAGCTTCTTGAGTGTTGTTGGAGCTGCACCCATCCAGGTAGGTAGGGAGTACATCATACTCCTGACTTGTGCCTTGTAGATGGTGGACAGCATTTATGCTTTGGCTTTGAGGTGTCAGGAGGTGAGTTACTTGTCACAGTATTCTTAGCCTCTGACCTGCTCTTATAGCCACTTTATGTGGCGAGTCCAGTCTGGTCAGTGGTAACCCCCAGAATGTTAGTGTAGGATTCCGTGATAGTAACACCATTGAATGTTAAGCGGCGGTGGTTAGATTATCTCTTATTGGTGATGGTCATAGCCTGGCATTTATGTGGTGTGAATGTTACTTGCTGCTTGTCAGCCCAAACCTGGATATTGTCTATATCTTGTTGCATTTGAACATGAACTGCTTCAGAATCTAAGGAGTCGCAAATGGTTCTGAACATTGTGCAATCAACGGCAGTGGAGGGAAGGTCATTGAAGTAGCTGAAGAAGGTTGGGCCTTGGACACTACCCTGAGGAACTCCTGCAGAAATGTCCTGGAGCTGAAGTGACTGACCTCCTACAACCACAACTATCTTCCTATATGGCAGGTAGGACTTCAACCAGTGGACAGTTTATCCCCGATAGTTGTTGGTTACGGTTTTGCTGGGGCATCTTGATGCCACACTTGGTCTAATGCTGCCTTGATGTCAAAGGCTGTCACTCTCCCCTCACCTCTGGAATTTAGCTGTTTTGTCCTTGTTTGAACCATGGCTGTAATGAGATCAGGAGCTGAGTGGCCCTGGCAGAACCCAAACTGGGCGTCATTAAGCAGGTTATTCCTGAGCAGGTGCTGCTTGATGTCATTATTGATGACATCTTCCATCACATGATTTGGAGTACACTGAGGCAGTAATTGGCTGGATTGGATTTGTCCTGCTTTTTATGTGCAGGACATACCTGGGCAATTTTCCATATTGTCAGGTATATGCCAGTATTGTAACTGTACCGGAAGTGCCTGGCTAGGGGAGTGGCAAGTTCTGGAGCACAAGCCTTCAGTACTATTGCCAGAATGTTGTCAGGGCCTATCGCCTTTGCACTATCCAGTGTCTCCAATCGTTTCTTCAGATCACGGAGTAAGTTGAATTGGTTGAAGATTGGTATCTGTGATGCTGAAGACCACTGGAGGAGGCTGAGATGGATCATCCAATCGGCACTTCTGGCTGAAGATTACCATGAATGTTTAAGGCTTATCTTTGCACTGATGTGTTGGGCTCTTCCATCATTGAGGATGGGGATATTTATGGAGCCTCCTCCTCCAGTGAGTTTATTAATTGTCCACCACCATTCACGACTGGATGTGGCAGGACTGCAGAGCTTTAGATCTGATCCCTTGGTTGTGGGATTGCTTATGCTGTTTGGCATGCAAGTGGTCCTGTTTGGTAGATTCACCATGTCGACATCTCATTTTCACTTTCAATTTCAACTCATTGAGTTGCTAGATCTGTTTGAAGTCTGTCCCATTTAGCATGGTGGTTGTATCACACAACATGATGCAGGTTATTCTCGATGTGAAGGCGAGACATCTCCACAAGGGCTGTATGGTGGTCACTCTCACTGATACTGTCATGGACAGATGCATGTGCAGCTAGCAGATTGGTAAGGATGAGGTCAAGTTTGTTTTTCCCTTTTGTTGGTTCCCTCAGCACCTACTGCAGACCTAGTCTAGCAGCTAATTCCTTTAGGACCCGACCAACTCAATCAATAGAACTGCTGCCGAGCCATTTTTTTGGTGGTGGACATTGAAATCTCCCACCCAGAGTACATTTTGTGCCCTTGCAACTTTCAGTGCTTTCTCCAAGTGTTGCTCAACTTGGAGGTGTACTGATTCATCAGTCGATAGGAGGACAGTACATGGTAATCAGCAGGAGGTTTCCTTGCCCGTATTTAACCTCCAGCCATGAGACTTCATGGGGTCCGCAGTCAATGCACAGGACTCCCAGGCCATCTCCTTCCCTTCCTCGTGACTGTATGCTACTGTACTGCCACCTCTTGGGTTCGTTCCACCAGTGGGACAGGGCATATTAAGGTATGGTGATAGTGATGTCTGGGACAGTGTCATTATCACGGACTCATACCTTTTAGACAACGTCAGGCTGTCGCTTGACTAATCTGTGAGACCGCTCTCTCAATTTTGGTACTAGCCCCAGATATTAGTAAGGAAGACTTTGCAGGGTTGACAGGGCTGCTTCTGCCACTGTCTTTTCCAGCGCCAGGTAGATGTCAGGTGGTTCATCTGGTTTCATTTCTTTGAGACTTTGTAGCAATTAATACAACTGAATCACTTGCTAGACCATTTCAGAGAAATTGAGAGTCAGCCCCATTGCTGTGGGTCTGGAGTCATGTGTAGGCCAGACCAGACCAAGTGAGGATTGCAAAATTCCTTCTCTGAAGGACGTTGAACCAGATGGGTTTTTCTGACAATCAACAGTGGATGCTAACTTTTTGTGATTAATGCATGATGATGCCTGTATTCCTTTGCTGTAGCTTTCTACAATCTTTCTCCATTTTAAATAATTTTCAGCTCTCTGTTCTTGCTGTCAAGTACATAACCTCACATTGTATTTGATCGGCCAGGATTTTGTTCACTTACCAAACCAATGCAACCCCTGCAGACTCTTTGTGCCATTCTTACAATTGCCTTCCCACCTATTTAAATGTCATCTGCAAAATTGGCTGTAGTACATTTACTTCTTTCATCAAAATCATTAATATATATAATAAATAATTGTGGCCCCAACATTGATTCCAGCGGCATTTCATTAGTTACAGGTTGCCATCCTGGAAATGTTCCCTTTATCCCAAATCTGTTTTCCATTAGCCATTTACAACATTAATTACAACCCCAACACCATGACTTTTTATCTTATTGAATGGCCTAACGTGTGAATCAAATGCCTTTTGGAAATCCAAATATATTACATCCATTGCTTCCCTGTTATCCATCTTGCTTTATACCACCTCAAAGAATTTTAAAAATTTCAGGCATGATTTCCACTGGCTCCTTCCAATTTCCAAGTTCACGTTCCAAGTTCACGTCAATTCTTTCATCATAATGTTTTTTCACTTCTGTTGCCTTCGCCACTTCAATTTTTCAATTTTCAAGTTTGCATTTAGTTTCCCTTTTAGCTTAACTTCTTCTGGTGATTTTGAATTTCTTTGTTGTTTCTACCACAGAGTCAGTGAATCTCTGGGGATAATTGTCTCCATTATTTATAGAAGCAGTGCATAAGCAATGTGCTACTTATAAGATGATCAGAGATAACAATTACATATCTGTAGCTATCCTTTTGAAGTCACTACCAAAAACAAATTGAGTCTGTTTGTTGTAATAGTAATGGAGTTTGAAGGTGTTTTACCAGGTGATCTGTTATCAAGGGAAGTAGGTGGCAGGTGTGCTACTCGTGTATGACTATAATAGTGAATGGAAGCAAGTATATTGTTATTAATAGGCTACCTACAATTCAGTTGGTAAAGTGTAGGTATGTCCCCATGGTTACTCATAAATTCCTTCCCCAAATTGTTTCACGTGAGAAACGAGCCCAGTACCTTTTATAGGGAGGGAGACACTTATGCCGCCTTCCCACGCCTCCTAAAAGCTAGTCACCAGGCTGCATTGATATATGAATAGATGGAAAAGGTGATCGTCAAGCTCCGGTATAAAGGAGCTGAATTGTTTTAAGTCGTATCAAACTGCCTTATGCACTTTAAAAGTTGGGTTCAATTCTCCTTCCTGTTCCCCTTGGTGGTTTAGTCATCATTTTTTGCGAATTCAATGTTTTCAGGATGTTTGCACTGGTCAGTGCAATGCTTTTTGTATATCTAACGTTAAATTTTTGTTAATTGGGCATGGTTATTTGCAAAGTAGAACTCTTTTTTTTTCTCTCTTCCCTGGGCCTCCCACATTGTTGCAACTGAATGTTTTAGCCTCAGTCACAGAAGAACAGCTCTACCTTTACTAGACTGGTATTTTTCACACTGGCTGTTGCATGGTCCCTCTGAGTGAGATTGCCAAGATGGCACTGAATCATGTGCATATTTTCTGCTATGGGTGTAAATTTCCTTTGAACTCAGTTGACTCTACCCACTTCAGGTTACTGAAGGCAAGTATCATTTCAACAACATTTGTAAGCATAATCACATTTTTGTTTAATTTTTGGGTTGAAACCAATTTCACACTCTTTTCCTAAAACCTAGCACTCGCATTCCCAGCCAAAGACAGCTGCTGATTTTAACCGTGACTGGAGAAGATATTACAGCACTGAAGCAGAGAAGTACAGTCTCCTTCTCAACCTAGGTGGCCAGCTTTTGGGGGACATCTTCCGTACTGAAATTGGTTTTGGATATCTTGGTGAGTTCCTCATCATCCTTTGCAATAATTTCCAATCAACAGATGGCCAGGCAATATACTGGATCCTGCTGCATCTTTCTCAAACCCAGCGGTTTGACCTGAATGTGGATTTCCTGAGCAGCAGCGAAAGAGAGAAAGGCATACAGTTATTTCAAATGCTGCAACAGGCTTTGGATGGCTCCCCGTGGCTGGGCAGTGAAGAAGAGCTGCAAGGTGTGAAAGATGCTGCAAAAAAGGAGTGTGCTGCAGAGGTGGTAAATACAGCAATGGTACAAAAATTAATGGAATCATACAAATTGAGCTAGTCTAGTTACTGCACCTTTGGAAGATTTATCCCCATTTCACACACTCGTGATTCTTCCATCACTTCAGACAAAGTAAAACATGAATTTTATTAATTGGGAGGGTTTGCCTTTTAGGTGGTTGTTTTGTTCAAATTAATCCCCTTCTGCCCATTCAACAAAAGACATTTTCCACCACTTAAAATGTCCACCTTTAAAATGGGCTGTTGCTTACATTGGCCAAACTGATTAACCATTACCCATTTGTTAGTAATGTGCCCATGTTTCCAAAACATCGGCCCACTTGTTTATGAGCTAAATAAGGAGGTCCCTTGTGTCATTTAGGCGCTTGTGGATCTGCTGCATTTTTTTGTTTTTATTGGTATTTCAGTTTCCTTTTATCCTGTAGCACAATGTAAACATTAATCACCCCATCACTAATAACTGGAATTATTTAATTTTCAATGGTTAAGGCATGTAGTGGTCAACTTACATTTGCATGAATATACTCAACACAAGCAGAGTTGAGACTGATTAGCCATGAGTATCTTGGTCATCATGTGTCTTCTTGGGACTCTGGTAGGTCTGGATCACCTTGCAAGCTAGAAGAAGTCAGGTTCCATTGCAAGTATTTGAGCTGCTCTAGTTCTGGACTCATTCCTGGTAATGTTAACACTGCAGTGCAGAGGCTGGCCTTTGAGGCTGTCTGCTGAGGTATTTAAAAGTTTTTGGCATTTTAAGGGAATAAAATGCTGAATACCTTCCTAAATTCATCAAGAAAAAGAAATTAGTAAGATTTCCACTTACGCTTGATATATGATTTCTAAAGTTTTTTTTTAAGTATCATTGGATGAAGCTTCTGGTATATCTCACCATAATGGGTCTCTCTTCGTACAAAAATCTTGTACAGATAGTGGGGAACACTGCATATAATTTTGTACACAGGAGTAATTGTTTGGTTTTGACATTCACAGTTGCATACATCAGTTTTCTCTCTGGACCCTGATTTTTGGCTTGTCCCCCAATACCAGGCATTGGCCCCTGGCTCCCATAATCCAGTTTGAGTTATCTGCTCCGCGTGGCTCATCCATCCCCTCTTACTTTGTCTTCTGATGTTCCTGATTCTGTATGCTGCTGGTAAGCTTGATAAGTTCCACTGGAAATATCTTATGGTCATGATGAAGAGCAAAAGTGTCTGTGAACATCTTGTCCCCATTCTGGGAGGTTTCTGGCCATCCAACAGAGAGCCCTACTTTCTTCCATAGCAGTGTGCTGAGGCAGCAGCTGGGCAGTGGGCGGATGTAGTCTGTGGGTGGGTAGATGGTGAGATTGAGCTCTGCTCTTTCCAAGCAGATCCTGTGATTTATATTTTGTTTAAAAATGTGTTAATCCTAACAAATGATAGAAATTCTATTCGTAAGATTTGTTCTTGATGACTGTTGGATGTTTACTGCAAACATCAGTATCTTAGTCTACTTTTTTTTAATAGTTTTGATTTAGAAAAAAAGAAATAAAGTTTTTGATTGCAGCACTGACTTTTTTGTAGTTTTCTTTGTGTGAATTTTCTGATAATCAGGATTGGGATTGGAATAGTTTCTCTTTTCTAGAAGTCAGGGAATGATATTTTAACTTCATAAATGGATAGAACAATAAGTTCAGGCATAATGAAGGTAGTCTATCTGATATTGCCTGAAGTTAAAGTGGCTTCTCCAGAGTCTGTTCAGGATGTAGTGTTATTTTTGTCCCCACACTTCTTCCAATGTCCTTCAGCCTAGTCTCAAAAGAAAATGTCTCAGCCAACCATTGCAACTATCCTGTAGCTCAGCCTGGGCCACAGGCAAGTGTTCTTATCTGGCTTGCCAACGGCATTCCATAAGGGATAAGAGGTAGGCATCTATCTTGCTGCATCCATTCTATTCCAGCACTTTCTTTCATACATCAGCTTTCATAGTTTAAGTCTGAGCATCTAGACTAGGAATGAGGCAACATAGCGGCTCAGTGGTTAACACTACTGCCTCACAGTGCCAGGAACCCATGTTAGATTCCATCCCTCGGGTGGCTGTCTGTGTGGAGTTTGCACATTCTTCCCATGTCTGCGTGGGTTTCCTGTGGGTGCTGCAGTTTCCTCCCACAGTCCAAAGATGTGCAGGCCAGGTGGATTGGCCATGCTAAATTACCCGTCATGTTCATGGATGTATAGATTAGGTGGGTTACAGGGAAAAAGGGTAGGGGGATGGGTCTGGGTGGGTGCTCTCAGGGTCAGTGTGGACTTGTTGGGCCGAAGGGCCTGTTTCCACACTGTAGAGATTCTATGATTTCATTGCTGTATACTCTTTCCGCTCCTTTTAAACTTAGTTGCTTAGGATGATTCAGAACTTAATTTCTACATTTTTTCAATTGCATTCACTGTAATCTCAAATCACAAACCTTATGTTGGCATTAACTGCACATAGCATGCTCAATATATTGCTGTGTCCAGCTCGCACCTCATTTTAAGAGGCTGATTGCATTCACGTTTACTTTGGTCCAACTGGTTGCCTAAGGCAGGAATCAAACTTGCCAACCACTGAGCCACCATGCCACCAAATCATAATGATTTGTTTACTGAGTTAATTTAGAAGCCTGGACTAATGATCAAAAAGGTCCTTCCACTTTACTAGGGAATTAATTTCAGTTGTATTTATGTATTAGTGGGATGTGGGTGTTGCTGGCTGAGCCAGCATTTATTGCCCATGCCTAGTTGTCCTTGAGAAGGTAGTGGTGAATTGCATCCAGAACCACTACAGTCCATTTAGTGCTGGTGCATCCAAAATACCATGGGGGAGAGATCAGGATTTTGATCTAATGATGCTGAAGAAATGACAATGTATTTTCTTGTCAGGATGGTGAGTGGCTCTTGCAGGTGGTGGTGTTTGCATGTATCAGTTATCATAGAAACAGGCCCTTCAGCCCAACAAGTCCACACTGACCCGCTAAAGAGCATCCCACTCAGACCCATCCCGCTACTCTATCCCTGCATTTCCCATGGCTGTTCCTTGAACACTATGGGCAATTTAGCATAGCCAATCCACCGAACTTGCGCAACTTTGGACTGTGGAAGAAAACTGGAGCACCCGGCAAAAACCTATGCAGAGGATGTGCGAGCTCCACGCAGAGAGTCACCCGTGGTTGGGATCGAACCTGGATCGCTGGTGCTGTAAGGCAGCGGTGCTAACCACTGATCCACCTTGTCCTTCTCAGATGTAGTGGTCATGGGTTTGGAAGGTAATGTTTAAGAAGCCTCGAATTTCTGCAGTGTGTCTTTTAGATGGTACACACTGCTACTACTAAACATTGGCGGTAGAAAAAGTGGATGACACTATATCCACAAATAATCAGGTAGGCTGCTTTGTCCTGGATAATATGTAGCTTCTCGAGTAGTGTTCGAGTTGTACCCATCCAGACCGTGGAGAGTATTCCATCACACTCCTGATTTGTGTACTGCAGATGGTGGACAGGTTTTGGGAAATCATGAGGTGAATTTCTTGCTGCTAAGCTTTTATATGGATAGTCCAGTTCAGTTTATGGTCAATGGTAACCTCTAGAATGTTGATATTTGGTGATTCAGCAATGGTAATGCCATTGAATATCAAGAGGCAATGGTTAGTCTGCCTCGTTTAGGAGATGATTATTGCTGGCACAAATGTAGTGTGAACATTCATTTCCAGTTGTCAGCCCTAGCCTGGATATTATCCAGGTCTTGCTGCATTTGAAAATGGACTGCTTCAGAAACTGAGGAGTTGTGAATGGTGCTGGACATTCCATTTTGATTGGAGGGAGTGTTGATATCGCTGATGGAAACAGCTAGGATGTTTGGGCCTGAACACTACTCTGAGGAACTCCTGCAGAATGTCCTAAAAATGAGTTAAATGACTTCTAACAACCACAACAATTTTCCTTTGTACCAAATATGATTCCAGTTAGCAGACAGTTTTCCCCTCATTTCCCATTCACTCTAGTTTTTTGTTTAGGGCTGCTTAATGCCAAACACCGTCAAATGTGGTTTTAAATTCAAGGTTCTTATCCTCCTCTTCGAGGTCAGAGTGGTGTCAGTGGGGTGGTGGCTGTAGCGTCAGCCGTGTGGTCCGGGACTCTTTGTGGCCACAGTAGGCTGTGTTGGTGAGGCCGCAGCAGCAGCAGAGCCAGGGTCTCCTAGGGCATCAGCATCGTCTTTGCTGCTCCCGGAGTGGGACTCCTTGAGGACCAGAACACCTTGCAGAGATCTTACAGAAGTCGTGAAGCCGTGTTTGAGATCAATTTGAACAGAAGATGAATTCTTATTTAACTAACTTTTTATTCTTATTGTAACTCAAAATGTCGCGCGGATTGTGGCAACAAAACACTTTTCACTGTATATTCCCGATTTATGTGGAGTGGGATGGACAAATCAAAAGACACCCGACACCAGGTTATCATCCAACAGATTTATTAGAAATCCCAAGCTTTCTGAGAGCTGCCACTTCGTCAGCTGCGTGCAGGCACAGACTTTATAATTAGAGAGATCAGAAGATCATACAAATGGTTTGAGTGCAGTGTCAACAGGTTGAACAATAAGTCCCTGTAGGTGATCAAGAGTGTCAGTGTGAGTAAAGTATCAACAGCTGAATAACAGGTGAAGGGACTTCCTATAATACAACTAATTGAGACAATTACAAAAATTTTAAAACTAAGGTGATGCTGGAGACAAACCAAATGGCTGGAATAACATGATGGGTGTAAGAGTTACGTGCTGATGGTCTAACAAAAGTAACAAGTAATCCAAAACTGTACAAACTAGTCAAGGTAGAGAGATCATAACAAGTTATTAAGGTGATGCAATAGATAGGGCTGAGTGACCTCGTAAGCAAAGGATCAGATCTAAGCTCTACAGTGCTGCCAATTCCTATTGTGATTGGTGATGGCTAATTAATGGACTGGTGATTAATGCACTGATGGGGGAGCTCTGCACATGACAAGACAGAAGCATTTGCAGTGTTCTTCAGCCAGATGTCCTGAGTAGATGATCCATCTTGGCCTTCTCCTAAGATGTCTGGCATTACAGGAGTCAGCTTTTCACCAGTTCTTGATGTCGCATGGAGTTAATCAAAACAACTGAAGACATTGAGAAGGCTGTAAGCCCTAACTGCATTCCAATAATGCCACTGAAAGCTTGTGCTCCAGAACTAACTGCATTCCTGTTCCAGAACCTTTACTGTACATTGCTGCTAGTGTTGTAATGTGGAAAAGTTGACCTTACTACAGTCTTGATTTAAACATGGATGGAAGAGTTTAACTCGAGCAGAAGACTGCCCTTGCCATCAAGACAGCTTTTAACTGAGTGTGGCATCAACGAGTGCTAGCAAACTGGAGTCAATCAGGAAAGAACATTTCCTTCAGTTAGAGTCATACCCAGTACAAAATGAGGACGGCAATGGTTGCTGGATGTCACTAATCTCGGTCTCAGGGAAGCACTGCAGGAGTTACTTGGTGGGTGGGTGCTGGGGGACAGGGGGGATGTTATAGACAAGTCGTCTTCAGCTGCATCATTAATAACCTTTGTTTCATCATAAGATCTGAGGTGGGGATAGTTTCTGGCAATTACAGAATGTTCAGCACAATTTGCAATTCTTTAGGTACTGAAGAAATCTGTCTCCATTTGCAGCAAGACCTGGACAACATTCAAACATTGGGTGATAAGTGGCAAGAATTATCCCTGCCAGATAAGTGCCAGGCAATGACCGTCTTCAACAAAAAAGAATCTAACCATTGTCCCTTGACATTGAATGGTATTACCATCACTGAATCCCCCAGGATCAACATCTTATGGTTTACCATTGACCAGAAAGTACCGTGGTTACAAGACCGGGTCAGAGGATGGTAACTCGCCCGATTGCTCAAACCCAACAAGCATCAACCAGGAGTTTGATGGAATACTTTACAATTTTTTTTTTTTTTAAATCGTAAAATCCCTACAGTGTGGAAACAGGCCATTCGGCCCAACATGTCCACATCGATCCTCTACAGAGCATTCCACCCAGACCTATGAGGTTAAAAACCAGAAGAACTGCGGATGCTGTAAATCCGGAACAGAAACAAAGTTGCTGGAAAAGCTCAGCAGGTCTGGCAGCATCTGTGGAGGAGAAAACAGAGTTAACGTTGCGGGTCCAGTGACCCTTCCTCAGAACATCCTATGAGGTTGTTGACTTGCTCGCCAAGCTGGCTTGTTTTTGTTCAGATGTTTCATCACCATGCTAGGTAACATCATCAGTGAGGCCTCCGATGAAGCGATGTTGTTCTACTCCACTTGGAATTTATATTGTCTGGTCCATTATGGTGAGTAGTGTTATTTCCAGTTTTGTTATGTATGGAGTCCAATTCAGTATGTTTGTTAATTGCATTATTGGTTGAGAACCATGCCCCTAGGAATTACCGTGCGT